AGTTAGGAGGATTTTAATACCTAGCTCTAAATTCTACGATGTGCTCAACAGCAGGAAAGCTATAGCCCCCGATGAACATGTTGAACTCCCTTAGGCTGTACATCAGCTGTGTGTCTGTGTTTATTCAACTGTTTATGCTTTATTACTTTAGAAAAGCAAGCTGGGGATTCATACTGTGTGTGTGTGTGTGTTTGTGTCTGTGTTTGCAATGTGGAGCTATTCAGACCTTGGACAAGAATATAAACACTGACATTTCAAAACATCTTTGATCCGTAGTATTTCATAAATTTTTTAACTAAAATCAGATCCTAAATTTGTAAAAGTTTAAGGATAGTCAAATGGGCTCAAAAGTCATTAAAGCCTTAAGACACCCATGGTACTCCCACACAAGAGTTTTCACTTGCTGCGTGATTACACCTCTTCTCAGGACGTGGTTGACATCTCCCTCACCCTATCAATTTTGTTGCACCTGTTAGGACGGGACAACTTACACCTTTATAACTCTTATTAGTTCACGCACTTACAGTGCACTTTGGGAATTCCTAGCATAGCTCTGACCCATGTCAGCATTAAGTTTTAGGGTCAACATTAACAGTGGGCTTATTAGGTGCAATAAGTGAAAACACCTGTGAAGGTGTGCAGTACCTTCAACAGATTGCTGGCTACTGTCAGCTATCTGCCCTGTAATTAAAGTCAATGTTTGGAAAGGTTTAATACCAATGGGGTCGCCAAAAGGCTGTGAAATGGCTCCAGACAAGAACAAGACAAATTTTACCGCTTATTTCCAAGATTTTCCTAAACTTCCTATTGCAGAAGAAGTCTACCAGGCTTTCCATCTGGGTGGAAAATTTGCTGACTAATGGTTGTCTTAAATGGACTGACTTTATATGTTATTTGATATAATTTGAGTGCTTGTAAATATGTGTAAAAATACCAAACTACCTATGTGCCCACTTTTGTGTGTTCACATTCTCACCTGAGACCAGTAAGAAGTAAAGGCAATATGCCCACAAGCTGTTTCCATCTTACTCTGTCCATCATTAGTCGAATTTCACAGGTACTTCGTGTCTCTACTACTTGTACGTTTTCTACAAACTTTCTATAAGCAAAACCAGTGCAGTGAATGTATTTGTGTGTGTGTGTGAAAGAGACAGAGAGTGAAAAAGAGAAAGTGAGAGAGAGAGTTGGATAATCCTTTTCACTTAGCAATAGAGTGTCATTGACTGTCATTGACAACAGAGCAGACACCCCAGGCCACCGCACTCTTCCCCTGGTGGCCGATGTACACAACAACACTAACAACAATAACAACGACATCAAGCTGCTAGTGCTCTCTGAGCCTGACAAGAACAGCTACTGGAGGGCAATCCTGCTGCCAAGGTGACTTCTGCTGGCTGAGTGTGTGTGTGTGTGTGTGTGTGTGTGACAAATTGTAAAAGGAGATTGTGGACAGAGAGAGAGAAAAATACAAATACTGATCAAAAAGACAACACTTAAAACACTTCCATATTACCTCAACATACTTCAGTGCCTTGATTTGTTTCATTACTTGTTAATTTCTGACTTGCTTAACAGCCATCAAGCTATCAGTATATTCAGAGCTGGTGCTGGCCTCCCTGGGGCCCTAAGCTAAATTCTGATAAGACTAACCCGTGAGCCATATAAACTATTTGCCTTTGCCACACAGGTACACCTGACAGCCCAGTGCTCCCATGAAACCATCCTCCCTCTTTTGTCTGTCTAAGAATTTGTAGATTTACAGAGAGCAGAATGAGGTATACATTAACAATATTTATTAATTAGAATATTTTCTATAGAATCTTAAGATAAGTGAAAATTAACATTAACGCTGAAAATATAAAATGTAGAAAATAATTTAAAAAGAAGAAGAAAATTTGCTTTGGCCTTGCTGCCTGGCAATAACTCCAGTCCTTACACTATTATACAATTAGCTTTGTCTATAAACACAAGCCTCATAAGGCTCTGACTGCAATTTAAGTCTCAAAACAGATGCATTCAAACTGACTTCCCCAGATTTGCTTTTATACATTTTCAAATATAAAATACTATTTATACTATGGCTTGGCTGAATACATGATGGTTATTATTTACTGAGAGATCTGCATTCATATTGCCCAGTACGCTAATCAGCATTTTAAATACAATATTAAAGGAAGTGTATCTGTGAGGAGTGCCATCATGCCCATATATTGTCTGGACTGGTGCTCACAGAGGTTGCTGCTGCTGAAAAAGCACGAGTTTTGTGCACATGTTGTATATAGTTGTATTTCACTTGGCATTTGTCAGACACAAAGTCACAGAACAGCCCTGGAAGACACATTCACAACAAGAGCTGTACTGCCCAGCTGTCAGTGACACAATTCACTCTCAAGGCCTTTTATTCTCTTTTTGTGACAGATAGTTTGTTCTTCCTATCATCAAAGTTCTAAACATTGCCTCGACACGAGGGGGAGGCGGGGCCGTTGCATAAATTGGTCCTGCATGGTCCTGCGCAACTTGACGTAGTGAGCATACTGGCCGACTGGCTCTGAGTATATTAAGATACATGCATTCTGATAATTGTTGCAGTTGACCCATCTCGTTAAATGTGTCAAACTGCTAGGTGTAGTAGTACTATATATTATATACTATAGTACTCCAACGCATCTGTGAGGGGCATCACAAACTTGATTTCACTTTGTAGGAGTTAAACGGTGGATAAACGCCAGTTGAAGTTCAATTCATTGTCCGTACACACCTCACATCTCTGCGGTTTATGTGACTCACTTTTAAAAACTCTTTCCTGTTCTGATATTTACTGGCATTCAGTAAAATACAATAAAGGTCAAGAAGTGTTCTGCTGGTCAGATTTAAAGCTATCCGCACTGAAATATGTGCATGAATCAACAAACTTTTTTTAAATCATCATAAAATTCTTTCACTGCCTAAGAATGTTTTTTTTAATCAGCTGGTATTATTAAAAAAATATGTATTTACTTTGCATATCGAACTTGTGAAAGGTCTGCATAGCATCAGATATAAATTAACAGCTGTTTCAAGTCTGCAACATAGTGTTGTATCTAAGTTATGTCCTGATGATAAGTGTCTCCTGTTGTCAGGAACATCAGAGAAGATCTTGATGGAAAATATGACCTTGACAGTACCTCAAATCAGAAGTTCATCCAATGTAACATCTGGCAAGTAGTCCTCTTTCCACCGCAAACTTAGTCCGGAAAATGCCAAGATTCTTCACATCCCGCCACAAGAAGATCTCCCTAACAGCATTTACAAAATTGAATCAAGACACAGCACTTCTACTAAAAACCTTGGTGTGATCCTGTTAACCTGTTCTGTGTACTGTGAGTCCATGACCCTGTGTATTAGTTTAAGTCTCCTAGTTCAGACTCTTGTCATCTCTCGGCCTGTCAACTGGAAATGTCTGCTTACAGCCTTTACTCTCAGCCTGGGAAAATAGTCCAAACTAAAATGCACTTGGCATGCTCTCCAACTGCTCTTCAGTACTTTGATTTTACTTCTACTAGTAGTACTAGCAACTCGATATCTGTTTGCATCTATGACAGATGAAAATTAAGATCAGACAATAACTTGGTGGAAGTGGAAAAACACAAAAAACACAAAACAATTCCATGGCATTTACTACAGTATTTAGCTGCTATTAGTGTTTAGAGTGATATGTTGTTATTATTCAGTTTTGTCCAGGAAGTGTGTTTCTACAGGCTAGTTGTTTCCCCCCGCTTTTAGTCTTTATTCTAAGCAAAGTAAATCATTTCTTGTTACAATGATGTCAGTCTTGTTATTTCTGCAAAAAGCAAAACAAAAATCCAAATTAATGCAGGAAATGTACATTTAATTCTATTTAAATAAATTTCTAGTACAGACTGTAGGCCTCACACTGTGCACAATAAAAAACCTCACAAAGCATAACAGTACAAAACTCAGATCAACTCTCAGATTTAGTAATTGCACAACTGAAATATAAAAAAACAAACTTCCCAATTCTCTGAATTACTTATTTTATAACATTATTTGTACAGCACCCTTTACAGAGATGCAAATCGCTTTTAGTTTCAGGTAATGGGTGACTAATGCAAAGTTTCAGTTCTCAAAGTGAGCCTGCTAAAATAAATGTACTGTATTACGTGAATAAATAATGAAACAAAAAGATACACATTTACAAAAGGGTAAATTATTGTAGAAGTAAAACAACAATAAACAAATAACTTTAAATTTATGTCAAAATACATCTGAGGATTATTTATATTAAAAAGACAAACACAATGGGCTTGAAGTGCCTCACAATCAAATAACAATAGATTTGCATTTAGTGGCAGTGTGAGTTGTGAAAGTAAAACAGTTGTGGGCTCTGTAATGGTGCTTTGGGGAGGCAAGTCTTCCTTTAAGTGGTCTGAAATAGAAGAAGCTTACATGATTGTAGCAAAGGCAGAAGCATCATGACTATTAATGGATCACTTCCATTTACCCTAATAAAAGCCTAAAGCGTCTTGTAGACTCTCGCCACTGCCGACCTGGTCGCGCGACAACGTGACGTCACGGAGCGCCGTAACTATTTATACTTGCGCTGGTGGTCGCGACCTAGTTGCAGTCTTCTCCTGAACAGAGGTGGGCGCAACTGGAGCAAAGGGCTACCGACTTTGCTATTTCTACGCACTAGAAGAGGAAGAAAAAGGTAAACAATGGCGGCCTCCTTTTTTTGTATTTCCAAAATCGTGCTCGCGGTTCTTCTAAATTTTCCGGATATGCCTCCTCTTTCTCTGTGCTTCCTTTCATTGAAGGTGTACAGGTGCCTGTAGAGGCGATTTGCTCCGAAAGCTTCCTGGTTTCCGGTTTTGGCGCGCTTCAGCTGAAAAAAAAGGATCGCGTGCGCTGACCTTCCGCTCGGCGGGGGCCAAAATCCTGTTCGCTTGAGACCTGTCGCGCGACACTGTGACGTCAAAATGACGTAGATCTCGCTGGCGCGATAGGTCTCAAGCGGCAAGCATACTTCGGCCTTAAGACACAAATTTGGGATTCAAATCTGGCATCATGAAGTTTAATACAGTAGCGGGCTTTCTTAACTAGTCCTCACTAAATAATACAATTATTAATACAAAATGTAAAGCATCCAACATATTTCTTAAGGTGGGGGTTACTTGCAGTTTGATGCTCACTAAATATTATTTAAATTATTCTGAAAGCTTATTATCAGTAAATCCATTCATTTAGTAAAAGTAATTACTTTTACCAAACTCTATCATTGAACGGAAAGATACTTTATTGAAGATGAACGAATATGCTTTGTCATTTGATCTCTCATTTGATTTTATATTAAATTATATCTCTAAATTTACATTTAAAAAATCATAATCAATATGATCAAGAAAGTTTCTTTTTATCCTTTTCACTCACAGTAGCCACATTCAGGTTGCCTGTGTTAGCTGAGGATGGAATAGTTATTTGTGTTGCTTTCAGATTGATTTGGTTGAGATTGATCACTGGGCAGTTGAACAACAGAGTACACCAAGTCACATTGTTGAAATGTGACTCTGGAAACTGCTAATTCAGTGCCTTGGTGGGAGGAATAATTAGCATAAAGACTGTCTGGGTCTGCAGAGAAGCTGAGGGTAGAGACCCCTGCAGGTTTGCATGCAGTTTGCTGGTTCTCAGGTCTGATTTCGTCATATTCAACTTCCTACAGTGAGAAAAACAAACAGTAGGAATACTGAGTCAAACAAAATACAAACAAGGTAACAAGCACATAAAAACAACATTATTAAAACCATTATGATTAAGACATCTTAGACCATTAAGACATCTTCTTGACAAGGATTGCGCCAACATTACTTCTTTTTCTGCAGTCATATTAAAAGATAAGGAGACAGAGTTTATTCTGACCTGTGTATGTGCAGGTCTGTGTAAATTTAGCTGCGGTTAATTAAGAGACATAAAGTTTTTAATGTCAGAAAGACAGTTGTGTGTGTTATCAAGGTGGACACAGTCTTGTTGAGATCAATAGAGGGAAACAGCGGTGTGTCATCGCCATGGCACCACTTCGAAATGGCAAACAAAGTGTATACCAGTGTCAAACTTGGGCTTTCACAATGGAAAGTTGGAAATGAGCTGGTCCTCTCATTTCTTTGCACCTCCGCTCTGATGGAAATCACAAATTAAGATTTTTGGTGTCTGAGGAGTTATGTTTAGCTTTGTAAAGATCAGATGTCTCACACTGATGATACAAGATAAGGATCCCACTGCATCTAAGGTTAATCTTTCTTTTGTTGTGATAATAATAATAATAATAATAATAACAATAATATATATATATATATATATATATACATGATGAGGGAAACAGTAGTGCTGTTGCTGTGTACAAAAACATTTTTTTTTATTAAAAAGAAAACAGATATTGTAGGTGTTATTTGTGTTTTTTTTAACTCTGAGATTAGCATTCTAAATGTGTCCTCAACAGCATTTGCACTTCCACGTGATCTGTATCTGTGTGAGAGTCCACAGAAACCAACAGCCCTCAACATGGTTTCAGAACTAAATTAAAGGAGACTCACCTCTTGCATGTCTTCTTGTGGTAGATCAGCACATGATGTGTCTGCTGAAAACATACAAACCTTTGGTTTTATGTCTGGTGGAGGCTGATCTTACTGATGTTGCTATACTGTTAATGTAATGTGTATGGTGGTTACCAAGTTGTTTTTTGGCCATCTTCCTCAAAAGGTACAGTAGGGCAATCAGTATGGTTAGTATAAGAATGAATCCTACAATCAAATATGGTACACTTCCTGGCCAGAGAAAGAGGAAGAGGAAGACAGGCTGTCATATTAAACACATCTTGCCCCTCACATCCTCTTTGTTATAAATGAATCTTTTAATGATCATGAACTTGATTTTCACAGGCCATGTGAATTCTTTCTAAACAGTAAATAGAATATTTTAACAAAACAATATAGCGTACAGCAACTTTAACTTTATACATTTTTATTTCTCAATCAAGTATGCAGTGGTTTTTATTTTGTTATATACAGGGATGTTCATACTTGTAGCCCTCGACTCATTATTTATAACAGGCATTACAACTTTAAATATATATGTCTGTATATAAGTAATATACATGCAAGCGCAGAAAAGTGAATTTCCTACCAGGTCCTTGTGTTGCTGGTGCAGTAGTTGTTGTACAATGGATGATGTATGATGTAGACGTAACAGTAATACTAGCTGAGCTGCCTGAAGACACTGTGGAGCTGTTTGTAACAGCAAATGTTGCTGGAGTATTTTTGGGAGACTCTGAAAATAGAGAGAGAGTACATATTAATTTACCAACAATACAGTGGTTTTTGATGGTGGTATTAAAAAAAATAAAAATAGGGAGCATAAACTTACCATCCGTAACTTTAAGATTCACCTCTATCAAGGGATCAGAGCCAAATCTCTCCACTCCACAATAATATTTCTTAGAGTCTGACTTTTGGAGATGAATGAAGGTCACAAATAAACCTTCTGCACTGTTAGTTAACTCTATTCTATTCTTACGTACAGTCTTTCCATATTCTGCTTTCACGATAATGTGTTTGTTTTCTGAGCACGGATTATCACAAAGGTACTTAACATGATATTTTACATCAGTCCAAACGTTCCAGTCGGAGCATTTGAATGTAACATTTGTTCCAACACGTCCATCTATGTTGAGAGGTTTCACCACCACAACACTCAGAGCTACACGTGGAAATAAAGGAAACATTGTTGGTCATTGTCATAATGTCAATGCACAAATTACTTCAAATGAACATTACTTTTATTGTTGATCCATTTAATTATTTGTGATGGCAAAACGTCATCTTTCCAAAAAAGTAAACCACTAAAATACTTAATTACAGCAGCATTTATACATCCAGAGATACAGAGAATATGAAAAGGATATACTCACCACAAAGAAGGCAAGGGTACACATACATCATTATTATTCTGAAAGTTACAGACAAAGAACGCAAGAAAGCAAGTGAATCACCCAACCACAGTGTAACTTCCCCTTCCTCTCTTCGCCTGACCCCGATTGAAGCGCCTCCCTTTCCTTGGAACACACACACACACACACGCACACACACACACACACACACCGCAAACGGCATAAGGTGCCAGTTAGTGTGTACAAAGAAGAAAACAATACACGTAAAATAGGAATAATTTATTTATTTATTAATTTGAACAGAGAGCAAAGCAAAATGCAATATTTACTGTAGAGGATAAAGTGTATGGACATGAATTTAACAAGGGTTAAAAACAACAGATACACAGGAATAAGGGTGCTTGAATACATGCAAATGAAGCCTGTCAACATTCACAGTGCTCTTAAGGAAAATTCTTTCACATTTTGCAGGTTCTTTCTTTTGTGATATGTAACTCAACTTCAAAACAAACAATAACACATAAAACTGTTTTATGACTGCAGTCTTTAGATATATTACTGTAATATAAAAAGAAAGTAAAACGAATGGTTTACAAGCAAGTAATGGATTTAAAATTTGTTAAAAAAAAAATAAAACACACCCAATGTCTAATTCCAACCCTAACCTTAGCAAAAAACATACATTTTGAACCCCTAAAATTTAATTTGTTACTTTGTAGGGACCCACCTTTGTCCCCAAATGTGAGATGATATGATTGTTTTAGTATTTTGTTAATATTTGTACACATCGTGTACATTTTAGTCCAAAACATTTATGCAAAATAGGTATGCACACTTGCACGTTAATTTTAATGAATCCAAATCTATCAACTGTAGAACAGCATTCTGAGTAAAATGAACATGAAAAAATATTGTGTTGAGAATACACATTAAGTTACATCCATTAGATTTGTATTCAATTAAATAATGTGGGACAGTTTAGTCCACTCAGCCATTATTAACCAATCAAAGTTGTCATATAGCTTTGTAGATTGGTGTGTGAGTGTGAGTGCAGGAGTGTTTGTGAGGACATACCATTTGCTTTATGTTATGAATACCAATTCCCCTAGAATATAAAACACATCTAACTCACAATGTGCAACATACTGTGTGTACAAAGAGGTCACATCTCATTCTAAAGAGAACCAAAATGGCATTAAGGTTAGCAGCTACAGGCCAAAACTGAAAAACTCTCAGTTCAGTTTTCAATAAAAAAGGTCATTTTCCATTTATAGCACAATGAAACAATAGGCTTAAGTCATTTTTAACTATTTACTTTTACATTCATATGATGGTGATGCAATTTCTCCTGTTGCAGTACTCATTTAAAGTTGTGACATAGCGGTGGAGTGACTTACACTTGTGATGGGTGGGAGAGTGCTGCAGACTTATGTGTGAGATAACTTAGTCTTCATTCTTTCTAAATGGGTTGAGTGATTGGTAGACTCTATCAGGACCTGCACTCTGTGGGGGTGTAACATGTTTGATGTATAGTATCAGACTAGTACCAAATAAGATTGCATCAGTGTCACATGTCACCCATAATGGCATTAAGGTTAGTAGCCGCAAGCTAAAGTGGAAAATATACCAATGTAACCATTTTGGCAAGAAAATTATATTATAATACAAAGATATAATACTCAAGAGACTTACTTCATAAAAGAGTAATTTCATTAAACTAAGGTAACAAATAATAGGACAAGACAAAAGACAAAGATGCAGGGTGGATGTCAGCTGTAGGAAGAGAGAGCAAGTGAACACATGGGCCAGATTTCACAGCCTAAGTGTCCAGGTGAGTTTAGAGTTTTGAGTTTATCAATACAACCCACCCATGTCAGCCAAGGGCCTGCTGAGGTTGGCCAGGACAGCCTCCAAGGCAGTGGGAGAGGTGTCACAACAGTAATGCTGTGTTCCCACCAAGGTGAAAAAAATGATTTATGTGAGTAGATTACATACAAAGTTGAAAATATTGAACTTTGAGCAAAAAATGTGTGCATATGGTGGGGTGTTTGCAGCGTTGTATGGGATGTAGTCGAGAGACAGAGCTGCTGCTGGCCCACAGAAAGCTGCTTGAGCCCGAGGAGCTCTGCAGAAGAGAGCCAGGACGGGGAGCTTCTGGAGACATTTACTAGCAAGAGGAGAGCTTGGGGTTTATTTGTATACTTTTGGGATTAAAATGTGGATTTATCTTCACTCGCGCTTCTCAACCTGTTTGCTAAGAGCCACAGAGGTACCCCACCACTTGTATCCTTCTATGTGCACGTTAATGTGCACCCTGAGTGCTCCAAGTGTGTTGCTTGGTGGGACAGTGCTGCCTCCATGTTGACTACTGAACATGAAATATTGTAAAATATAAAGAGAATCGGAATTTCAAACAGCTATCCGAATAATAACAACTTATTATCAAATAATTGATCACTCAGTTCGTTGACTGTGACGTAGCTGTGTGGAGTGTCGTAAATGTGACAGTGTTATAGGCTTGGTCTTGATCCTGTGATGAGTGTTTGATAGACTTCAGCACTCTACTGGAACATATCATTTTTTGTATGTTATCAAACTAGAATATAATTCAATTGAATTCAATGATGGAAAGTCAGATAAGCTTAAACTGTTCCCCCAGAGCAGTTTACATGCAGAAGAATAAAATACTTGTTAAGGCACATACCCAGCCTGTATGTGCACTGTGTTAGTAATGTAAGAACTGAGATGGTAAACGTGCCCCACGGCTGACATTGGATAAGCCTAACAACAAGCTAACTGACCACACTTTGACCAAGACTGAGCCATCCTTGAAATATCTAATACTATTTATTGGAAATGTTTATATCAGCATCTGAATCAACAGCTGCATAAATAAATACATTTTGAACAATTTCTTACATTCCAGTATGGCAGTCCTTTCTGGTTACGTTCAAAAAACATTTAAGAAAATTCAGAGATTCAAATATGTATAACATTTCAACCCTGTCTCCTACAAATGATGTTCAAAATGACATTATTGTGGCAAATGTAATTGCTGCCTGGATTATGTTCAGAGACACTTTCTTTGAGTGAATGAAACACTTAATTTATGTACTGAGCTGGAGTTGTGATAATAGGTGGTCGGGGTTCACAGTGGTCATACAAAGTACAAGCCTGTGACACCAGAATCCAGTGTTCGTGTCCAGACTCCTGTCTGTGGTTAGGCTTAGGCAAAAAAGCACTTTGGTTAGTGTATTGCAAATTAACAAATCAAATACACTTTCAGTGAACATTTTACTGATACTTTCAGTATCAACATTTTTGTGACTTCCTAGGTACATTAATTAACAACATTTCCTCATTATGTTAATAGACAACATAATACGGTCTGCATTACATTTTCCTCAAAAAGTATTTGCTGTTGCCAGGAGACTAGGGCTTGAAAAAATCAGATGCACTCCATACAAGCAAATGAGAAGGTAAACCAAAGGATGACTGGATCTGGAGCTGCCGAAGGTGACAGCATAGCTGAAAACAACAAACACTTAATTTTATTACGAGGTAAGTAATTGGGAATTAATCACTTTTTAAAAAATGACCATAAAGTTTGGTTGCATGAAAAATATTGGTGCAAAATAAAAAAAACAGTTCAGACTTACCATGTGTAACTTCAAGATGCACCTCAGTAAATGAAAGAAAACACAATTTCTCCAGTCCACAAAAGTATGTCTTTGAGTCGGATATTTGGAGATTACTGAAGGTCACAGATAAACCTTCTCCTGTGTTCTTTAAGTATACTCTGTTGTTTTTTTTTTAGGTTCTCTGGGTGCTGCTTTGATGATGAACATGTGAATGTCATATTTTGGCCAACATGGCCCTTTATATTGAGAGGCCTCATCTCTAGATTAATCAGAGCTGGTGGAAATTAAGGGGAAAAAAGTTTTACCTTCAATAAATGGAATAAATGAAGTGCATCAGTTTAGAGTGGCAACATTATGAACAAACTACAGCAGGCACTGGCACAGGCAGTCAGAAATAACTCACCAGGAAGAAGACAGGAGGAAATGTAGACCATTCTTATAGTGACTGTCAAAAAAAAAAACAAGTGCAGAGGTATTACCTGCCTTCACTTTCCTTCCAACATTCTGGAGGTCAAAGCCCCTCCCTTATAATTTTTCAGAAAAGAAAAAAAGAAAATAGTTTGATTTTTTTTCACATGATCACTTACAACTTTGACAACACAACAGACACTGGCTCTGAGCAACTGCTGACATCCCCCCACACACTGAGCCCTCCACAAGTTTCAATATTCGTTTTATAACACAACTTCCTAATTTCAGTTAAGGTGACAGTGAGGTTAACTTCATTTTCTCTTTTCTCACATTTAGATATGTTGATGACTCATTTCAAAACAGTTTTCTATTAAAAGAAGAAGGCCATGCCAATCAGTCACATCCATTCCATGTGTCAAAAATTAGCGAATTGACAACTTTGCTCACACGGCCAAAAATCAAGCATACACGTAGCCTTTTATTACATCCAAGATTTACTTCTGTCGATTGGAAGTCCAGCATAGATGATTTGGGATTTGATTTCCGGGGTAGCGGGGAGGATCATCCCCAGGTCCCTTTCGCATTTTGTCTGTGAGGTCTGCCAGCAGTGCCAATACAATGAGAAGGTGTGTCAGCTGATTTACTTCCTTCAGGGTGATGTTGGCACAGGTGGACTTGAATTTCATTTGACATAATGGGTCTTTTTGGAATAATCGGAGGAATGACTGAAGTATCCAGACTTCGCTGCTCCATCGTATTGGGCGAGCAGTCGTGGGGCGTACTCCCAAGTGGTCGGTTTCCTCAGTGTTGCGTACACTTTTCACCTGCTGCATGACTTTCAGTAACAGGCACAGATTAACAGTGCCGTGCTCATTAATGACATCTTTGATCTCCAGCTGAAGCATGTGAATGGGGCAATGCAGATGTAAATTTGACAGTCAAGTACTTTTTTATCATAGTTCTTGGTTATTGGTTGTCACTTGCACTTCAATCTGTGAGAGTGCAGGCAGTCCTTCATTCCCCTCTTCCTAATGTAAAGTGCTATTGCTGCTGGCACCCGTGGTCACCTTGTTTTCCTTTGCCTTCTCCTCTTGTGTGCAAGGGAGGAGGCTAAATGCCTTGATCATATTGCTGGCACTGTCAGTCACCATCCGAATCACACACCGTTGCATGTTCCAGTATTTAGTACATTTTGGTCCTTTTGATTAATGATCTGCAGTATGGTGTCCTTGTATGTGCTCACAGCGCAACAAAATTGTGTTCCCCCCGGAAACGTCCCATCATTGAAACTGGTCACGATGCCAAGGTAGCTGTGCCCTCTTCTACTGGTCCAAATATGCACTGACAGAAAAAAACAAAACAATCAGCTCTTTGCAGTTACACAACTTGACTTCTGTTTCTTCTAGGGCGTGTGGCATCCACATGTCTTGGACAGTATTGTAGCAGGGGTGTGTGTAAGCTGGCAAATTGTCACACCCCTTTTCGTTCTCCTATACTCAGCAGTCCATGTAGTTGCTGCAGCTGCCCCTCTCAATAAAATACAAATTCACGTACAACCTTAATTATATTAAAATGAACAGCAATACTTTGAATGAATGACAAAACGATTTTATTTTACTATAAAATTAGTCTATATATTTTTTATTTTATACTTAAAACCTTTCTTTTTTAATTGCTCAGCTTTTTAGATATTAAAGTGAATCTTCAGTGATGGTCCTGCACTACATCATCTCCATCTAGTAGTACTGACAGTGTTACAGGAATAGATGATACACCTGAATTCCTTTTTAAAGTACTTTCTGAACTCTATTGCAGACTTTTGTCAGAAAATAGTGTGGGTGCGTGTGGATCTGCAATGCAGAGATGCATTCTGGCTCACTTGGCATGCTTCGATATAAAAATGTGAGCGTACTGGAGCAAACCTTTAGCGAGATGGAGTGGGAGATAATGCAACTAGCCTTTATTCAAATCTGCTCTGCGCTCCATCCCTGCCTCCTTCTCCACTCCACTAACATCTGTCCAACGTCCTTCTGCTTGATCACTTTCTCCATTTTTCTTAGCTTCCTTCGTCAATGTCCTGGTCTATTGACCATGCTCAGCTGCATTACATTGCCTGCTCTTCTGGCTTGTGGTTGCTATTCTTTGCTTAGAACTTGAATTACTTGGAAACTTTTTAAAAAAAAATATTTTTTGGGGCTTTTATTGCCTTTATGATAGTGACAGCTGAAGAGACAGGAAAGGGGGGCAGAGAAAGAGGGGATGACACGCAGCAAAGGGCTGCAGGTCGGACTTGAACTCTGGGCTGCTGCAGCAAGGACTCAGTTCTACCAACTGAGCTAACCAGGCACCACTTGGAAACTTTTTTTGAAGGGTATGATCACATTATAAAACATTGCATAAGGCTTGTTATAGCCTTTTGGTTATCACGCTGATGATGCAATGACAACAGATGGATCATTTCATGGAAGTAAGCCAGATGAAACAAAGAGAATGACTTCACTCACTTGTGCTCTGTCTGTTGACTTTGTATGGCCAGAGCAGTTGACTGTTTTTTCTTTATTTTCTTAGTCAGTGGCTATAAACAGAAATTCTACACAGTTTCTTAGTTTATGGACTGCACATCAGCACAAGTACAGGACACGGACTGTAACATCCTGCGGATGTAGTAGTAGATCATTGAAATCATTTAGGACATTTTAAACTTTTATTTCTTCTCCACATCACTGAACTCCCTCAGGACCACCATACTTCTGTACTATCCTAATCTACCAGTTCAGGTTTCTGGAGCAACAACAACATTATATTTTTCATAACCAAAATTCAGATTTTCATATTTCTCCCTGTATAATCAAACTAACAAAATCAGTGCTCCAGTCATGTAAACAGTGTTATTTCGGGAAGTCATCATTTTATGCATTAATAAACAGATTATTCATTTTTCCCATTAGCAGCATTATTCTGGCCTTATTGCATGCTTGTTAACATCAAACACCAAACTTAATTAAACATTAAAATGAGCAAAAATATAACTAAAGCAAAGCTGTTGATGCATGTCATCACATGTAGAGAACATGGTGTACAGGCTTTTGAAAACTTTGTTAGTGTTTTGATTTAATAAAGGAACATAAGCAGTCCTATTTCCTAGACCACATCAGGACAATTTTCCCTTTTTCTCTATCTCTAATGTTTGCCTGTCTGGACTCTCCTCTACTTTATCAAACTGCCAGAATGCTATGGCTATGGCAAGTAGGCATATTTATGAAGGATGAGAGAAGCTGATTGAAGCGGCCAAGACTGATGCCAGGCCTCACAACACTAACTGATAATTCAGTCCTCCCACTTCAACCCATTTCACAATTGTGCCTCTGGTTATGAAATGACCAAAAATGTGTTGGCCATTCACGGAAAGAGAGCACCTTATCTCACCTCCACCTCTCCACTGTCATTCCACCTCTTTCCATTTCAACTCCTTTCTTCTCTCGAAAATTGTGATTAACCAAACCATTTTGCCTCCCTTGGTAATGTGTCTGAACCTGCAAGGAGGAAATGAGGGAATATTATCTCTGTCCTCTGCTGGCTTTGACAGTGCTTGTCGTTCAAATACACACTTTCATCATCCACTGACAATATGTGAGTGAGTGTGTCTGTAAAGTAGTGTCATAGATAAGGAGAGGTTTGTCAGGCCAGCTCAGTGAATGCTGGCACTTGACACTGCAACACATGAGTCAACCACTGTCATACTATCATATGATGTGGACAGTGTGTCTATTTATTAATAATGCTTAAGTTATGTTGTGTATCCTCCTAGATGTTCACACAAAATAGTAATAAAGTCAGCAAGGCACCGGAAGTCAATATTTTTCTGATAAAGCTTGACAACCATTATTTCAAAGATACATATTTAATTTACCCGCATAGGCATTTTTTTCATTTTGTGATGATGATGATGCCCTACAGATTACTCATCAGTCAATTATAAAAAAAATGGATTTTGATTTCTCCTAGTTTATCCTGTCTAAAGATCAGTCAGTTTGAATATTATTGGTCATATATTGTACTACATCCTTATTCTTTTTCACTAATACTCTTCATTCTTCTGGCTCTGGTTCTGGCCCATCTTCTACAAATCAACTTTTGTGCTCAGATTTCCACATTATCTTTCTCCTGTGACACGTCCTCCTCTTCTAGATCATAACATATCTGTTTCAATCTCTTGTATTATTCGCTGGGAGGTTCTCTGAGCACACAGCCTTTTGCTCATGTTGCTGGATTCCCCTTACAACGTGTAAATGTGACGATGACAGTGGTGGCTGCTCCACTATGTATCAGTGATAAGAGGAAAGAGATCTGTGTTGTGCCGCTAAAGATTTCATCACAATTCTGTGTTTTTACTCCAATTAGTCTGTTTTCATGCAGTCCCCACCCTTTTATAACACAATCTGACAAAAAATAAATCTTCACAAAAAATAAAGAATATCCTTCAAAATTTCATACTGGTTTTTCTGAAATAGTATAGTATTAAACAGTTAAACCTGACAGACCACGAAGCTTAAAGTGACACAAATAGCTCATCAGGCCTTATGCAACTATCAATTTGGCATGCAAATCCACTATACCTGGCTGCTTTGCTATGTCTAATTTACAGTAAGTCTTATATCGTAGAGATATCTGAAAATGCAGGCACTTTTGATTTCACCAGTCCAGGTTTTGAGGTTGTTGATATTTCTGCCTCAATTACAATTATGGTTAAGAGAATATTCTTTGTAGGGTTCACACCATCGAAAAAATACATTTACAATCACAACATCAACATGTTTTTACGGAATTACTATGGATAATCCACTGAGCACCCAGTCTTGTTCACAGCATGGTCTAACCAACATTAACACAACAATCAAGGGCACACAGCTGAATTCTCATTTGATACCTCCTCGCTACAAACCTTCCTCACTCAACAAAAGCCACTTGTTGAGTGGCCAAAAAGCATGGCTCCACAAGGTTTAGGAGCCCAAGTTATTATGCTTTATGTTAATAAATCATTACAGCGGCATTGTCCACCTACCTAACTAAGAAATTAGGTTTTACAAACTCACAAGAGAAGTTGAGTCTCATTTGTTTAAGGTGATGTGATAGATGAGCTCTCTATTGATTTTGGAGCAAAAACCTTTAAGATATTATAAATGAATGCAGGGTTTCTAATCCAATTTGCCACTTCATTGGTTTCAAAATTTGTAAGATTGAATGTGAAAATTAGAGTGTCCATGGATACAATTAGTATTCTCAGTGTTCTCTATAGTTGCAAGGAATATTCAATGGATTTTATTTCATGTCATATCAGAAGACAAGACTGACTTATAATCAATACTAATAAGGACTACATCCACAGCTCCACAATAGCACGGCTGCAAAGCCGAAAAAACTAAATATGGGTTTCAGTTTATGTCTCCAACTCCAATTCTTTCTGTGTGGATTCTGAATGTCCATAAGTATTTCCAGCTGCTGTAATGGGTGTTATTCTGTGTTAGACTGTGATTGATTGGCTCTGTCTATCTGTGGTTCTGCCCAATAAGCTTTTTTCATAGCAGCCATTTTGACTTGTCATTAGTGAAAGTAGGAAAAAGTAGGAAAAACACAAGTGTCTTAACTTAAAGTTCATAATGTAACTGTGCATTTGTCTATAACTCAAAATATTTTGTCATAGTGCAGCTGTAGTGTGGTAAAAAATCCTGGAAATGGATGAAGAGATCACAATTGGAAAAGTGCAGGAACTTGAAAGAAAAAAATAAACTCTAATCTAAATGAACTCTATAAAATAAAATGAGAAATTAAATGAGAACAGGTTCTGAGGACAGATAAGGTCTTCATGTGACAGCAAAAGGGGCAAATACAGCTAGCAATCACTTTTATAAAGTTATCCCATTACTGTCAACAGGCTTATGGGTCAATGGGCACATTTAAAATGACAATCAAATAAAGTACTGGCCCCTGAGTGCTTTGCACAGCATCCAGATAGGAAAGCATACACTTGGATGTGTGCATCTCTGTGTATTTTAGTTTATCTGTGTGTGTGTGTGTGTGTGTTTGTGTGTCTGTGTGTTTAGAAAGATGTTCCATTCCTTGGTTGACTCCTGAGCTTGCAACACTTCAACACATCATTTCATAATTGCCACTTAAAACCAGTTGCAGAAAAGAAAGAAAGAGGAGAGAGGAGACAGAGGTAGAGAGAAAAACAGAGGAATTCAGTATGAGAGGGGACGAAAGATAGAGACAAAGAGAATAACAAGAGACTGAGAAAACTTCCTAAAACACAATAAACAAAGTGATTAAGATATGGATGAATAATTATTTAAACCTCCTCCCCTGAAAGAAAATGTAATTACTGCATTACTGAATACATAAATAGAATGATATTGTCAGATAAGAAGTTTAAAAGGCAGAGAGACAGTATAATGGAAGGAGGAACAAGGAAAGAAAAAGTCATGTGTGAAGTGAGGTTAAACATCCAAAGTTACAAGAAAAGAGAACAGTTACAGAGTGCTGAGGTGTATAATCACATTTGTTTTTTTTTTCCACTGGGTCAAGAGTGTGACAGCCCATAATAACAACTGTAGGCTGAATTGAAACCTGTTATTGAGAATACTTTGACTTTTGAAAATTGAAAACCTGTGTGCTTAATGAATTTGTTCAACAAGTTTCCAAAATGTTTTATGAAACTGCACTTAATTCAGTAAAATGCTAAATTGTTGAAGTGTCAGGAGACCTCTAAAACCAGCAACATATTAAAGTGAAATGAAATCATGTGTGTGGAGTTGTCAGTAACATATTAGGTTGTAATCATCAGGGACACATTCTAATTTCTCTTGGGAACATACAGTTTAACGTAAATAGAATCTAGTTTGAAACATGATTGATGATGATGAATTAAGAATTTCACAACAAGACTCCAGAGATTCTCTTTAAAAACAATATTATTTTATTTTGTATTTTATAGGTATTGTTATATACATGGCATAATTTGTGCTTTTTTATTATCAAGAATAAAACCATAAGGGAACACATCAGAAAATTAAACTTTAAACCAGGTTTGAATTGTTCTTTTTTCAGCTGGATATACTGAGAGTTCTACAAAACCAGGAGAGAAGGGGAGGAAAAAGACCGAAAACTAAATAGATAGATAGGTAGATTGATAAATACATAGATTTTTCCAGAGACACTTGCAGATGGTCCACTGAGGGTAGTGTGAACGTTCAGACTGTGATGTGCTTTTACCAACAGCAGCAAAGGCACCTGTGTATCACTTTGTTTTAAAAAAAGAAAGTACGCCTCAGGGCCTTAATCCAGTTGAGTCCATACAAATGCAACCATAATCCATCCATAATTTCATTCAGGGGGATCTCTGCCACGCAAATTTGCTGATTTCCTATGATTTCCAGCCATCACAGAGGTGGGGCGCTAGGTTAGCCAGCTCGAGGCCATTCACATTGAACCCCCCCCATCTGAGACTGATTGATATATAAAAAATAACCTCCAAAATAATATTTTTTATACTTTTCATGCTTAGGCTGCAGAACTTTTGAAAAGGGGGATAGTGTGAGGGCTAAGGGACATTTTCCTGACATTTGAGTTTGGGATGGCCAAGGGAGATTAAAGAGTAAAGAAACAAAAAATATGAATATATGCCATTTGGTGAGTGATTGGGTAAGAGACAACAAACAAGAAGATAGGAAATCATGAGAAATGTAAGTGCTGGAAAGAAAATAGAGAGTGGTGAGGAGGCTGAGCAAGGAGTAATGAGAGGTAAAAATACTGTAGGAGAGAGGGAAGAAAAGAGACAGAGAGCAGAAATGTCTCTCAATGACACAGAAAACAGATATGACTGAGGAGAGCAAGGTCTTGGCAAGAAGAGCAGAAAGGTTATGCAAAAAGGGTGAAATAAAAAGTCTGACAGACAGGGAACACAGGATGAAAATGTATAATACTTCATTGCAAGACCAAAATTGGTCTGGCAATTGCCTGACTGGAGGTTTGGCCCCATACCATAAAAAGATTGGTCTGCTATAGCACCCACCTCAGCCTTAATTTAACATAAGACTTAACTCACTTTCCACTTCTTTTTATTATTCCATTTGCTTTCTGTCTCAGATAGAATGACTCCAGAGAGACGGAAACCAAAAATATGTGGGAACAGACTGTGAGGCGGAGAAACTGCATCTGGTACAGCTGTGATGTCTAGTAAAAATGTTTTTAAAACCAGTCCAGTGGAAGAAAGCAGATAGAACAATGTTTTCTGTTTTTTTTAACCAGACCAGTGGAAGAAAGTGGATAGGCAGAGTTACATTTTCTTTACCAGTCCAGTGCAAATTGATGCATAGACAAACCAAAATAACTAGAGCATAGAGAAAAGATAAAGGAGAGCAGCAGCAAAATATGGCAAGATAAAGGATTACAGATATGTTGAAAGTAAAAAGAACAGGATATCAAGAGAAGTAGAATCAAGTAAAAGATTTGATTTGAAGGAAAGATAAAAAAAAAGGCCAAAAATATATGCGGGAAAAAGCTGGTGAATGCAAGATTGAAGAACATTTATTTGCATTAGTTATCCTATGAAAAGTGGGGTTGGAGAGCATTTTCACTACCAGGTGTAGATTTATGTCGAAGGGTCACACGTCAACGTTTGGGTTGAAAGACTAGAGGGGGAGGGGGAAGGCCTTTCTGGTATAGATTGGTCCGTTAGCTAGCCTTAGCTTCCCACTAGACTAAACCATTGTCTGATTTACTTGTTAGTTACCCGAGGGCTAAACCAAGGTCCACACTGATGTCTGTTAGCCAACTGAAAGGTTAACCCGGAGTCCTTGTCCGTGTCCCTGCCAGCGAGTTTGCAGTCCATCATCAGATCTGTTTATCCTAACAAAAGCAAGGGGGCGTGTTTTCCAGGACATTTTGGCCATACAGTGAACACACAACTCACTTTTTATTGTAAGAGAGTTTGTTGTTCTCAGGAAACCCCCAAATATAATCCTTGTGACTTTCAGAAACCATCATGGCAGCAATTAAACAATGGCAAAGCCAGCCAACGGGAGCCTCAGAGGGAGACTGTTCTTCCATGTTCATGAGCAGTCATAGCATCAAACCCTCCAGCTAACCTTGTTGGCTTTTGCTTCCCACCAAGTCATCCATCCTCCTGACCAGCATTAGCTGACCAATCCATATTATTTGGTCAATGAGCTGGCAATAGCTTCTCACCAATCTCTAGTCCAGGTTGAGTCAGTCCTTTAGCTGGCTTCACACCAAGCCACAGTCCACGTTGATTGGTCTGTTAGCAAGAATTAGCTTCCTGCCGAGCTGTAATCCATATGAGTCGATTGGTTAACGGATATGAACTTCTCACCATGCTACAATCCATATTGATTCGGTCTGTTAGCTGGCATTAGCTTCCCACCAAGCCATAATCCATGTTGATTCAGTCTGTTGGCTAGCTTTAGCTTCAAACTCTAATAGTCCATATGTCCCGAGTGTCTGTCAACCTCCCACTTTCAGCTCCAGAGGCAAAAGTTACTGGTGGTTTGGCAGGTAGAGCCTTTCTCAGCCGGGGACAGGTAGAGCTTGCCGTTAGCGCAGGAACAAAGCTCGTACACAGTCTGTTTGGTGTAGGTGGTACCAGCTGGCGCCCCCTCCAGGGGGTCCACAGCACTGCCGAGGGGAATGTTGCCCAGCCTGATGGTGTTGGCGTCTAGAAAGATCTGTGGACATAATAGAGAGATGATTCAGAAAAACTGCTATTCAAGAGCAATTGATGGAGAACAGAAGAAAGACCAAAAACAACAAAACAATACAGTTACACATAAAACATGGAAATGGCTAGACAGAAGTTGATGTTACAGCTGTAGGGGACTGAGCTCACATGGATTTTCTTGGCACCTAAAATAACACAGAAAAACAGAAGGGGAGAAAGTTGTGTTTTTGAAAAAAATGAAAAGAAACTGGGGTTGTGGATATAGAGAAAGCGAGAACACATTGCCGTAGGGGATGACTACACTCTGTGGTCGACTGGGGTTGTCATCAAGAAGGATCTACGGAGACAGAGAGGGAATTTCTATTTAGAACGGGTCTCTTTTGATGAAGAGGCAGAGTGGGAGTGAACGAGGCAGAGGGCAAGATAGGTGAAGAGAAAAGCAAGGGAATTAGTGGGAGAGGAGTGAAGGGAAGACAAAGAGACAGGGAAAGACAGATACAAGGGAAAGCAGCTAGGAGAAATACACACTGCAAACAAAGCCAAATTCGATGCAATATCATATTTATTATCTTGCTTTTCCGCACACAAGTGAATCTACCACACTGATATGATCTCTCAACAGGTTTCAAAACAACTGTTTTTGGGATAATTTCCTAAAAATAATTGGCTATATTTAAGAAAAAGGCAAAAAGAAAACAGGTATAAGATAAAATCAAGCAGCTTATTAGTACACCTGATCTTAGACACAAGTGCAGTTATCTCTTTGTTCATTTGTGCACCGTTTGGATGTTAATGTATGAGTGTAGTTTTCACAGACTTGATGTCAAAATATTGGAGTCAGCCTGTAAAAAGTTTTTTTTTAATGATTTCCAATGCAACTAGGCCTTCAAGGCACTTGGAGGAGTCTCAGTCAGTTTGGGCTGACAGGGGCAAGGGGTTTTGCTTTTTGATGGTGGCTAATGAATTTAACTGATCATGTGCCTAGTCAAGTTTATCTTAAATTATTGGGAGTGAAAACACCTGCAATGCACAAACATTGACAGAAGGTCACCCACTGAAGAACTCACTCTGACTTTTTTAACGATAAAGAAATATTAGAGGAGGTTGGACAGGCACTTTTTGAACTTTACATTTCTTCAGCCAGAAATTCTCTGGAAACACATTGGGTAATCTCTTTTTTTTAGGGGAACCTGGCCTAAATGACAGAACATAGAGTAGTTACCACATAACTGGTTAAATACATAATACACAGAGAATTGGAAGAGTGTAGGGTCAGTGAAGGCCCACAACGATTTTTTTTTTCTTGCCAAGGGCCCTCTGTTGGGTTCTGTTGGGTAATCCAGTCATCAGAAGATGAGAAGAATTCAGAGCAGAGCAAACATGAGAGAAGCCGAGACAGAATCAGTATATCTGTCTTAGAAAGGAAAGAAAGCGTACTAAAATTACAGTTACTTTTTAAAATAGATACACCTGTCAATGAGAATGAGAGACTGAAAAGGATGGACAACTAAATGAAAGTGAAAGAAGATGAAAGATATGGACAGAGACATCAGTTATTACCTGTCACTTCTCTTTTCCTTTTACTCCCAATTATCTCTCCTCCTCCCCCCCCATTTCTACCCCCTCACTGGCCTCCATCACTCCTGACCCTGCATTCCTTCAGTCCACTCCTCTCATCTTTAGATTGATACAAGCTGAGTTTCAAATGAGAATCATTACACAATCTTGGTTTCTATTGACTGCTTCGCCTGCTTATTTATTTACTCTTCAATCTTCACTGTTCAAGGAAGCACTGCTCTCTTGCTTTCCCTCTCTCTCACACACACTCACACACCCCAAGGCTGACGAAAATCTCAACAGACATCTGTATCCCCATTATTCATGTTCTTCATTTTAGATGTAGGGAGAGGGGAAGTGAAAAGTGTGCAGAAAATAGCTATGAGTGCAAAAAGATGGAGAAAAAAGAGAGGAGAAAAGAGGGGAATGAGGGAGTCAGATGAAAGGATGAGAAACGAGAGAAAATGTCGTATCAGAAGTGGCTGGAGGAGGATGGGGGACATAAAGAGAGGGAGATAAGATGAACGAAAGAAAAAGGAGAAAAAGGATTGAGGGATTCAGACACCCCAACAGCGAGGAACCAATTAGTATAACTAATGATTTCACATTGGCTGACAGGGCACATCTCGATCTGTATAAACAACATCCACACATACAGCACACACACACACACACACACACACACACACACACACGCTTGCACACACACGCACA